TTTTTTGAGGAACTTCCATACTGTTTTCCACAGTGGCTGCACTGATTTACATTCCTACCAACAGTGCACGAAAGTTCCCTTTTCTTCACGTCCTCACCAGCATTTGTTATCTGTGGCCTTTTTGATGATGGCTGTTCTGAGAGGTGTGAGGTGATATCTCATTGTGTTGGGTTTTTTTTAATTTTATTTTTTGGTGGGGTGTAGGTAATCAGGTTTATTTATTATTTTAATGGAGGCACTGGGGATCGAACCCAGGACCTTGTGCATTCTAAGCACGCACTCTAGCACTCTACCACTGAGCTATACCCTCCTGTTCATTGTGGTTTTGATCTGCATTTCCCTGTATTTGATTTGACTAGGGATGCTGAGCATCTGTTCACGTGCCTGTTGGCCATCTACACGTCCTCTTTGTAAAAATGTCTGTTCAGGTCTTCTGCCCATTTTTTAATCAGGTTGTTTTTTGGATGTTGAGTTGTATGAACTATTTATATATTTTGGATATTAATGCCTTATAGGTCATGTCATTTGCAAATATTTTCTCCTATTCAGCAAGTTGTCTTTTCATTTTGTGGATGCAAAAGCTTTGTCTAATTAGGTTCCATTTGTTTATTTTTGTTTTTATTTTCTTTGCTTTAGGAGACAAATCCAAAAAAAATATTGCTACAATTTATGTCAAAGTGTGCTCTGTGTATGTTTTCCTGTAGGAGTTTTCTGGTTTCTGGTCTTATGTTTAGGTCTTTAATCCATTTTGAGTTTATTTCTGTATATGGTGTTAGAAAACATTCTAATGTTGGTCTTTTACAGGTAGCTGTCCAGTTTTCCCAGCACGACTTACTGATGACACTCTTTTCTCCATTGTATATTCTTGCCTCCTTTGTCATAGATTAATTGACCATAAGTGTGCGGGTTTATTTCTGGGCTCTCTATCCTGTTCCATTGATCTATATTCTGTTTTTGTGCCAGTACCACACTGTTCTGATGACTGTAGCTTTACAGTGTCATCTGAAGTCAGAGAGCCTGATTCCTCCAGCTCCATTCTTCTTTCTCAAGGTTGTTTTGGCTATTCACAGTCTTTCGTGTTTCCATACAGATTTTACAGTTATTTGTTCTGGTTCTGTGAAGAAAGCCATTGGCATTGGACAGGATTGTGCTGCGTCTGTAGACTGCCTTGGGTGCTGTGGATCGTTGGATTCTTAGTTTGGGTTGTTATCATTTCTGGCTTTAAAATTCCTACATTGTGAAAAGTGATTTGTAGTTTTTGGCCGACCTTCTCAATCCTCCTCTATCTCTGAATACATTGGCCACAGTCCTTTGAAGTCCGCGTCTGAGAACTTCAGGAGTCCCGAGTTTGCTCCTCCAGACTGTTACTTCTCTTGGTTTCGTCCCTGTTGTCTCATTTCTGGTGTCTGGTTGCTTTTGATTGAGAACTGAGCTTCGTGTGTGAAAAACAGGGACAACAAAAGGCTTAGAAGACGTCGTCCGTGTCCGTGCCCCACCTCCCTGCCCCTCTGCAGTCCTCCCTTAACCAACCGCCTGCCCAGCACCACCTGCAGACCTGAGTTCAGCCCTTTTCTTCGTAGGTGGACGATGAACTGGAAATCAAGGCTTACTATGCAGGCCACGTGCTGGGAGCAGCCATGTTCCAGATCAAAGTGGGCTCAGAGTCTGTGGTCTACACGGTCAGTGGAAGCATCTGGGGCACAGGAAGGACCGCCTGGCCGGGGAGAGGGAGGAGGCACCCTCCTCACTGCCACGTCCTTTGCAGGGTGATTACAACATGACCCCGGACCGGCACTTGGGGTAGGTAGGCCGGCTAGTGTGTCTGTTTCACCCTGTGGGGCCCCGGCAGCGCAGCGACCCTCAGGGGTGTGCCAGGTTCCCAGGGATCAGCTCGTTGCCAGCCCCCCTCAGGTGCTGCCTGTGGCGTCTGACTGCTGGGGCCTGTGCAGAGGGGCAGGGGCTGGCATCCAGGGGCTGCTCCAAACCTGGCCACCGTGAGCCCTGTCCACCTGTTCTAGAGCTGCCTGGATCGACAAATGCCGCCCCAACCTGCTCATCACAGAGTCCACGTACGCAACCACCATCCGAGACTCCAAGCGCTGCCGGGAGCGAGACTTCCTGAAGAAGGTTCACGAGACCGTGGAGCGTGGTGGGAAGGTAGCAGCCGTGGGGTGATGGGCACCAGGCAGGGCTGGGCCTCATGGCCCCCAGGCCTTTCAGCTTCCCCTGGCAGGTGGTCAGGGGCCAGGGTGCTGTGTTGCGGGCATAGAGGGAAGAGGTTATGCTCAGAATGGGAGGGAAAATTCACCTTTTAGATCCTTCAGTGGGGGTTCGTTGGCTTTCATGTCTCAGATCCCAGTGAAGGGCTGGCCAGAGCGTCTGCCATGGTCACTTTTGGACAGACTGGCTGGGGGCAGAATGTGGGGGGCTGTCTACAGTTCAGCCATGCAGATGCCAGGCCATGACCTCAGTAGACACAGCCTTCAGCCATCAGAGCTGCCAGCAGGGCTGGTCTTCACAGCAGCTGCTCCCTTAGAAGGCAGCCACAGGGAGCCACTGCCACCACTGTGCTTGGGGGTGGTCAACGTGGCCAGGGTTCCAGCCCGAGCCGCCCTTGCCCTCCCTACCCTCCCCCTGCAGGTGCTGATCCCCGTGTTTGCTCTGGGCCGCGCTCAGGAGCTCTGCATCCTGTTGGAGACCTTCTGGTAGGTGCAGCCAGGACGGCTTCTGGAAGCCCTGGCCTGCTGGCCGTAGGGTGGGAGGTGTCAGGGAGTGGCATTCCTTGCACTGGACTCAGCCTAGCTGAGGGCATGTGGGGCCCCAGGCAGGCCCTGCCTGGCAGCCTCTCCACCACGTCCTGCCCTGGCTACAGGGAGCGCATGGACCTGAAGGCCCCCATCTACTTCTCCACGGGTCTGACGGAGAAGGCCAACCACTACTACAAGCTCTTTATCCCCTGGACCAACCAGAAGATCCGGAAGACCTTTGTGCAGAGGAACATGTTTGAATTCAAGCACATCAAGGCCTTCGACCGGGCGTTTGCCGACAGCCCTGGTCCGATGGTGCGGCCGGGGGATTTGCCAACAGCCCCGGTCCAATGGTGCGGTCAGGGTTGGGGGGTCCTGCCAGGCTGGGGCCCTGCCTGCAGGTCATGCAGGGAGCGCGATGCCCCCGTGCTGGGAAGCAGGGAAGTCAGAAGGCTCTGAGGGCAGGTGGGGTTCTGCTGCCCTGACCACCCGCCCCCACTCCCGTCCGCAGGTCGTGTTTGCCACACCAGGGATGCTGCATGCTGGCCAATCCCTCCAGATCTTCCGGAAGTGGGCAGGGAGTGAGAGGAACATGGTGCGGGTCTGGACCCCAGGGCCAGGCCCTGGAGTGCTGGCGAGGTTGGGCAGGGGTAGGGGGGTCAGGCTCTCCCTGGCTTGGGGACATTGCTGCTTTCAGGAGGTTTGGTACTCTGGGCTCTGGTGTCCGACCCAGGCAGCTCAGACTCCTGCTGCATCTTGGTCCATGTGTACCAGGCAGGGAAGCCCTCGGCCTCCTGAGCAGCCATTGTGGTGTCAGGCCTGGGCACACTTGTGCTGAGACCCTGAGCGTCCCTGGGTCTGCGTGAGGCCTGGAATGGCAAGGGGCCTCTACCAAGGAAGGGCTCAGGTTCAGACGGGCAGAAAGGGTGGGCAGGGGGGGTGTCCTTGGAGGAAACCCCGAGGTGGGAAGTGGGAGGCCTGTGGGGTCCAGGGCAGCAGCCAGCACCATCCCTCCCTCCCTACAGGTCATCATGCCTGGCTACTGCGTGCAGGGCACCGTGGGCCACAAGATCCTCAGTGGGCAGCGCAAGCTGGAGATGGAGGGTCGGCAGGTGGTGAGTCACCCCTACCCTGCCTCCCCCAGCTCTGTGGAACCCCTGCTGGGCGGGTGGGGCCTCAGAGCTGCCCCTGTGCTGACAGCTCGCATGCGTGCTGTGACACTGCAGCTGGAGGTCAAGATGCAGGTGGAGTACATGTCCTTCAGTGCCCACGCAGACGCCAAGGGCATCATGCAGCTGGTGGGCCAGGCGGAGCCAGAGAACGTGCTGCTGGTGCATGGCGAGGCCAAGAAGATGGAGTTTCTGAAGCAAAAGATTGAGCAGGAATTCCGTAGGCAGCCCATGCGAGGGTGGGCATGGGTGAGGGGGGGGTTCAGGCAGGGCCTGGTGCAGGCAGGGCCAGGCCCCCTGGACTGAGGCTCTCTCACCCCCTGGCCCAGGGGTCAGCTGCTATATGCCGGCCAACGGCGAGACGGTGACGCTGTCCACAAGCCCCAGCATCCCTGTGGGCATCTCGCTGGGGCTGCTGAAGCGGGAGATGGCACAGGGTATGTGGGCAGGGCACGCTGGGTGGGGCGGGGCAGCTGCTGGGCAGGTGGCCCCACAGACAGCTCCAGCCCCTGCCCCTGCCCCTTCCTCACAGGGCTACTCCCGGATGCCAAGAAGCCCCGGCTCTTGCACGGCACCCTGATCATGAAGGACAGTGTGAGTGCGCAGCAGTCATGGGGCAGGGGCGGGGGCGGGGCCTGCTCCCAAGCTCTCTGACCTGCCACTGCCCTGCAGAACTTCCGGCTCGTGTCCTCAGAGCAGGCCCTCAAGGAGCTGGGCCTATCCGAGCACCAGCTGCGCTTCACCTGCCGTGTGCACCTGCACGACACACGCAAGGAGCAGGAGACAGCCTTGCGCGTGTACAGCCACCTGAAGAGGTGGGCGCTGCACCCACCCCTCTGGCCCTGGGGGGCAGGGTGTGAATGGGGCACAGGCAGAGTCTCACCAAGCCTCCTTGCAGTGTCCTCAAGGACCACTGCGTGCAGCACCTTCCTGACGGCTCCGTGACCGTGGAGTCCATCCTCATCCAGGCTGCCGCCCACTCAGAGGACCCAAGCACCAAGGTGCTGCTGGTCTCCTGGACCTACCAGGTGAGCGGCCCCTGGTAGTGGATTAGGACAGGTGGGGTCACCCCATCACCCTGGGCTGCCTGGGTGGGGTGGGGGGGAGGAGCCAACAGCCCCCACTTGCCTTTGGCTGTAGGATGAGGAGTTGGGAAGCTACCTCACGTCTCTGCTCAAGAAGGGCCTGCCCCAGGCCAGCTGAGGCCCCACTGTCAGGCACCCGCCTCTGCCCTTTCCCAGCCGAAGGGACCTGGTCTCCACTCCAGAACTGTCTGCACCTGGCTCTGCCCTGGCCTAGCCAGATGGACCTGGCTCCCACCCCAGGCTCTGCCCTGTGTCTTCGATGTGGAACCTCACCCGTGGGGAAACCACAGGGCCATGCACCTGCCCAAGCAGCTGCTTTTGGCCAAAGAAATACAGGGGCCAGGTGGCCTCTTCACCTTTTATTTCTACTCCTGGGCCCCCGGAAGATGGTTAGGGGCTCCCGGGGTACTGATTTCCATTAAAAACAGAACCACAGGCTGCCTGGGTGTCTCCCTTCCTGGTGCTTGCACCTATCTCCTGCAGGTGCCTAGGGAGGTGGGAACTTGGGGCAAGCACAGACTGACAGGAGGCAGGGGGCCTGCTGTGGCCCCAGGATAACACAGGGCTGGCTCCAGCCTGGCACAATGGTGTGCAGATGGGGCAGGGTCCAGCAGCTGGGCCTAGCACGCCATGGCTGCTGTGACCTTGTCTGGGCATCCGGGGGTTGTCAGGACTTCTGTGCCGTGGACTCGGAGGGCGCATGAGGCTGCATGGGGGCAGACCCTGCCGACAAACTCCAGGTCATTTTCAGAGCAAGGCAGTCTCTGCAGAGGCTGGGCCAGAGCCTTCAGCATGGCTACGGAGCCCCTGCCTTTGCCCCAGGATTCAGAGCCCTCTTAACTTATGCTGCCTTCTGGAACCCCCCTCTCAGCCTCCCTCCCCCACCGGAAACTCCCCCATAGGGGCCATGTAGGAGTGGAGCTTGGACTGAGGGGCTGCGGCACCTCTATTCAAAGCTGCCTGCCTGCCTGTGGGCTACTGGTCTCCAGCCTGAGGTCTGTTGGCTAACTTGGGACCTCCCTGCCCCCTGGGGCCTGGCTTTCCTATTGCACACATGCTGGATTCCTGACTGCTGGGCTAACACTGCCACTGAGAGGCCTGGCCCCAGCAAAGACCCAGCCTTGGGAAGGGTTGGTCAGGGGTAACAAACAGGGACCTTCTCAAGCTGCCACCTCTTACCAAGGTCCGGGTAGAGCACTGACTTCAGGAATAAGCCATGGGCTGGGGCCACACGGGTCTGGTGTCTGCCCAGGGGGTCCCGGCTCTCCAGAATTGCTTTAACTTGAGCAGGTGTCAAAGCCCCCAGCCCCACAGCCACCAGCACAGCTGTCATCCTCCGCACCTGTGACCCAAGACCAGACTGCTGCAGCTGCCCCAGCCCTGGGCCCCACCCCCGGGAGGGCCCCAGGACAGAGCCCACCTGTCTGTACAGGAAAGACTGGCTCTCAAACTCCAGGCTCCAGAACTGCAGCTTCCTGAGGGCAGGGGCACCTGTGACGTCATGGCCTCAGGGCAGCCCCATCCTGTAGTGTGGCCTCAGACAAGGAGGAGGACAGGGCAGGGGGTGGGGAATGACTGGTTCCCACCCTCCCCTTCACCCCAGAGACCTCCACTGACCACCCCACCCCACCAGTTTGGTGGAAGAGACTAAAACCAGAGAGGGGACACTTGTGAGAGGAAGGGACAGGAGAACGTCCTGGGGGCCTCGGCTGTGGGGATGAGGCCCGCAGGTGGAGGTGCTGCCGAGGCTGCGGTCCTGCTGTGGGCTCTGGCACAGCTGAGGGAGAGGGTGCAGCCAGCCAGTTCATCTCCCCGAGACTCAAGCCCCAGGTCTTTGGGTCCCAGGCTGGCTGTGCAGAAACCCCTCCTCCCTTCAGTGCTAGCCCTAACTGGGAAGGTTCTGAAAGTCAGTAGCTGTCATCTGGCCAGAGGCCCCAATACAGTGCTAGAGCCAGGGGCACCAACCCCTGCCAGACTGGGCTGGAACCACTGGCCTGGCGCTTCCACCCAGTGGAACCTTTTCTGCAGCTGCCAGAATCTATAGTTGGCAGCTCCAGAAAGGACCCCAGCCTTGGGGGAGGGCACAGTTGCAGACTTTGGGTGTGTTGAGGCCATACCATTCAGCTGACCAGCACGTCCTCCCCGACAGCCAACGCGTGCCCCGGGAGCCCCCAGTCCTGCCTCTGTACTGCCCTCATCAGGGAAGGTACTGGAACTAAATCCAGCCTTTGCAGCCTCCAGACCAGAGTGCAGGCTGCCCTTCCTCACCTGCTCTCCTGGGGGAGGACAAAGGGGCTGGTTGGATCGGGAGACACTGAGGCTTGACGCAGTGTGCGCACTGAGCTGGCGGCTGGGCTGCCCGCCGACTGGAAGGCACTGAAGTCATGTGTACCCAGGAGGTGCTGGGCGGCCTCCCGCATGGCAGCCACATCCAAGCAGCTGTAAGGAGCCAGGTGAGAGGTCAGGAGTGAACCACCAGCCAGGTGGGTCTGGCAACTCCCTCCTGCTCAGTCTCATACCCACTTACTCTGCCCGCAGTGCCCAGCACCGGTTTCGTTCAAACACAGACAGCTGGTCAGGCCTGGGGCAGCCAGTAGCCAGGCGGTACAGATAGGTCCTGGACGTGGCTGCGTAGCGGGCATGGAAGTCACTGGGCACACGGAAAGCCTGCAGTACCCTGTGGGAGTCAGGCCAGGAATGACCCCACCACCTGTTCAAGTGACATCTCGGCATCTCCCCCATCACCCGCAAGAAGTTCTGTCCAGATACAGTTTTTCCTGACCTTCCGCCTCTACCCATAGTGCAAGAGTCCCGGGAGAGCCCAGCAACACTCACCGGATGGCCGGGTGCCTCAGGTGGGTGTTGAGGGCCTCCGTCAGCTCCTCAGGGGTGAAGGGTGGCTGGCCTGAGCGGCGCTCGATATCCAAGTGCGCCGCGTTGCTTAGGGCGTGGACTCCAGCATCCGTACGGCTGGAGATGGTGAACTTGACAGGCACGACCGAGTTCAGCCGCTCTGCGGCCTCCTAGCGGGACATGGCGTCCGCGAGCAGAGCTCCCATCTGCCCCTCCCTGGCGTCCCCCTCCTTCATCCCGGGCGCGGGCCAGCGGAGCTCACCTCCAGGTAGTTCTGGACCCCGACGGCGTGCTGGGCACCCCTGACGGCCGCTACTCCGCTGCAGAAAGGGCGAGCGGAGGTTAGCGCGCCGAGGCCGGCCCGTCCCGTGCTCCACCCGCCCCGCCCTCTGCAGCCAAATGTGGCCGTGCAGTCTTCTCCGGGCCAGGGCCCGAGGCCAGAGGCGCGGATCCTAAACTTAGCTCCCGCCCTCTCCTCTGGTGCTGGCCGGCCGCCGCTCTCCTGGTCAAGCTCGGGTGCTCCCCACGGCGCCAGGCTACACAAGGGGGGCCCGGAGGACGTACTTAAAGTCTGTGCCCAAGTACTGGAAGTACACGAGGTAGCGTACGCGCACCGAGCCCGCGGCCAGGCCGACGCCCATGGCCAGGCCGGACCGGGCGGAG